CAATTGACTATTTAACCAAGTTGAAAAAAACAAGATGAGAAAAGAAAAGCATTCTTGATAAAGGTTGTAATCACTCTCAGGGAGGGAAAACGAACATTGAAGAAGGTAACCCTTTGCAATAATTGTGTTTATCTTCAAATTTTAACTGAGAACAAGTAGATGAGGGAATTTATGAATAATGAGTTTAATAATGAGTTTAAGAAGGTGAATGGATAGTGGTAAATACTGGCACTAGGTTTTTTATTTGTAATCGTAAGTTTTCAATTATTCTGCAGCAACAACTGGTGGAACTTCTTCAGCAACTGGTTGAACAGGTTCTTCGTTCTTGGTTCTCACAGCTAGAACCAATTCTTCATTCATTGCTCTTAAGCTATTAACTTCATCATTCAAACTTTTAATCTTGTTATCATTTTCTTTTAAAAAGTTGTTTTCAATCAAAGTATTCGAAATGGCTACAACTTACCTTTGAGCATTCTTTCAAACTTCTTCTCCAATAAGTAAACCTGTTCTTGAAGGAAATCTTGACTTGTAATTTCAGTCTTTTCCAATTTCAAACACTTGGTTCCAATGGTGAGTTCAATGACTCCTTGAGTTTCGTCTGAAATCTTGACTGAAACAAGTCCACTTACCAATTGAGTAAAAACCTTTGTATTGATGACTTCAAGAGGACAATTGCCATTCATATACTTGACAGAATTTTCAAAGTCAATCAAGAATACTTTCCCAGATTGTTGGGATGAGAAAGATTCATGATAGGCAAATCTGAATTTTGAGTTGTTGGATTCAAGGCAAGCATAGTGGGTTGGGGAAGACATTCTTATTTGGTTAATGTTTCGGTTGTTGAGTTTAGTTTCTTTAGGATGGTGTTTGTTTTTTTACTATTAGTTAACCAAAACGTGATAAACACAACCTCCATTCTAAACCATTAGAAAGGTGCTTGAGTAAAGTAAAAGAAACGTGCTTTCTAAAAAAAATTCATTGTTTTCTATTAACTTGTTATAATTTTCTCTTTCATTTAAATGTACAGGCACATACGTTAGAAAGACCCATCTTCTTCAATTACTTGATTCCCCTTATCTCTTACGATTTTTTGAAAATGAATCCGAGATGAAAATCTGTTGAAACTCAACCGAGTTTCAATTATTGTAAATATCACGTTTGAACCAAATATACTTATCACGTTTACTAATAATACAATTATTACAATAACTTCACGTTCCAGAAATCTTTTAATACACAAACACACCGAAAGAAAACAAAACTCAACAACAAAAAAATGTTTCAAATTCCAAGAACTTACTACAATCCAAATGCAAGATCATACTACCATGAGTGTTAATAATTATCCACTTACTGAGAAGATCTCAATCAATGATATTTTTGGTTGGGATTTCAATTCAGATAATTTGCAAGTTGATCGCTTTAAATGTTTATTGGAGGGCATGCTTAAATTTGGTCAATCCAAGAATGATCCAAGTGTTAGTGAAAGTGATCTTTCGAGAGCAAGCAATGCTGTATTGTTGATGTTGACATTTGAAGATTGTTTCACTCCTGGTTTCTTGGAAAAACTCAAAGTTTTGCACGAAAGTGCCAGAGAAATGGGAAGAGTTGTTGCCTTTGCCATTACCAAATTGGATACGATTGCTGATGATACTAAAATTCAACAATTTAATGATTCAGTCGATCCAGAAACAGCTCAGAACTTTCTTTTAAACAGTTCTGCTTTTAAGAGATGTTCAGAAAGGATTCAACAAGTTATTAGCGGTCAAGCCTGCTGTTATCCACTTGTAAATTATCAGAATCATCAACAGTCAACTATTAGAAAGTTGGATTATCTTGCTGGAAGTATTGTTGAGGGAATTTTGATTCAACTTGAAAGAGAAAGTATGTTGATTGATACCAGCTCTGAAATATTTGATCCATTCCAATTCGAAACCCCAATTAAAGCTGTAAAAATTAACTAATTTCAATAAACTGTACTAACAATGAAATTGGATCAGTACTTGATTAATAGCTAATTGGAGCCACCACTTGTTTTATCAACACTTGCAGCAATTTATTCCTTTGCACATTGAAGGTTTTCACACTTTCGTGGGACTCTCTTTTTCATCTCATTGAAGGAAGATGAGTTTCGATCGATTAAAGGCTCAAAATTAAATGAAGAGTATTCCAAATCGGGTATTACATTATTTTCCTGTAATATTTTGTAAAGTTCCTTATTTGTTCTCCATATAATCTCAATTATCTTGCTTCTACTTGCCATACAAACCTCAAATACAGGATCATGGAGGTTGTAGTCTACTGTAATAGAACTCTCTGACACATTTCCAGAAATGCAAAATACCACAAACTTGTGCTCTTGATATTCCACAGTGTCATACGTGAATTGGATGTTATTATTTTGGTAAATACTTCTGAAGACAACAATCATAAACTTTGGTTGTAATTTGGACTGAATATCACCAAGAAAAACCTCTTCTTCGTATTTAATATGATTGCTTTCTATAATTGACGCTTGTTTTTTGGAAATTTTCTTAAATTTAGTATTAGAGGTGTTTACTAATTTGATCCATGTATTTTGTTTCATGTTTGTGAAGCATTCATCGTCATAATATGTCTCCACCATTTTATATGTTTCCACAAAAGCAAAACCTAAATCAATAACTTTATCCACAACTTCTTTAATGTTTTGTGAGGTAAAGTGGTAATTTACTTTGATACTTTTATCTGTCAGACTTGTTTTACCAGAAAGTAAGAAGTACGGGAAATTGTGAATCAACAGGGTAGGACAGTAAGAATATTTTGTGATCTCCGCCTCATCTTTAAGGTGTAGACTCATTTTTTTAATTGAACAACAATTAAGCTACTCGTATAGAGTTGCAATGGCTGTCCCACCTTATTGGTGTTTAAGCCTAGAGTATGCAAGAGATTTTCTAATAATCAAACCTTTGAAGACTTTATTCATCAAAGTAGCGCTCCCAATACAAAACTCGAATGGTTAACTCTTTCCAATTCTTTGAAAAATAAATTGCACCATCTCCATTTCTGTATTTTGAAAGATCAGTATTTCTCTTGTAAGGAAACATTTCGTATAAATCTCTAATTTCCATAAAAGGTTCTGAACCACAAGATTTAAATTCCCAAAATAAATCCGATTCAAAATTACAAAATATAAATCTTTTCGAATTTGGGAAATAATTTGGAGTGTAAATGATTAATTCAGTAGGTTCTGAATATTGAATGATTGCAAATAAGCAACATAGTGGCATTTCGTCTATTTCTTTCTTATCTTTACTCCCAACACGAACTGTATCATTGAAATAGTCCAACTTTCGTCCATTTCTTCCAGAAAGAAATCCAATCAACAAGGAAATGAACGCAAATCTCGACAATTCTTCACAATACTCATATTTCTCAACAAATTTTCCAAATTCATCAGGCAAACGCATGACAATATCCTCCACAGGATTATGATACACTGTAGTTGGTGATTCTTCATCATCATAAACTTTAACGGATTTCATTATTGGAAAGTAGAATAATTTTCTGAATAATTGATAATAGAATAAATTTGAAGTCGTTGAATTCTCGTCGAGATCTAGAGAGTCGAAATGGTATTGATGATTCCTCATGTAAATATTGCAAAATTGTTGCCAAATAGAATTAGTTAAACAAGAAGAATTCCACACGGAAGAAACTAAACGAAAGGGAAGCAAATCTCGAGGAGGTAAAAATTGAAGAATATTGCATAGCTCGTATGTTGTGGTGAACATTTTTTTAAATTATGAAATTGATCCTTGACTTTTACAATTTAAATTAACAAATTATGAAATTGCTCCTTGACTTTTAAATTAACATGTTTTACACCCAAAACAACACAATGAACATGTTCATCTTGGTTCCTCTAATGGTCATGAATATCATATCTTTGATACTGCTGGTAAACCATTCGAAAAGGGAATGGATGGTAATCACGTGAATCAAATTCAAAAGGTAATGCATGAATTGCCAACAGGTGTAAACTTGTCACTTTCTAAATGGATGAATTCAGAAATTGTTACAGAAAATATGAGTTGGATTTGTGTTCTTTGTTGTCAGTGCTGAGGTTCTTACAAATCTTAGACAGATTAGTGATCTAATTGAAACTGTAATGTCATCATCCAGTCAAACTCACTTTATTTTCATCTAAATAAAACAAGTTTCTATCTTAAACAATATTTCTAATAAAACTGCTCTATCATTTTTTACCTCATTAGAGGCATATGCATAGGTGTTGATATCTTGCTTCATTGCCGCCAATACAATTTCTCTATCATTTGTAAAACTCTTGCTTAGTATATCATCAGAGGCATATTTTAAAACCTTTGCATTTAGTTTCACAGCATTTAGAATAAACTCTCTGTCATTTTTCAAATCATAAGAGGCATATTTGATAGTAGATACTCTTTTTTTAACCACGTCCAATATAAATTCCTTGTCGTTTCTCAATTCATCAGAGGCATATTTTAGCATTTCTGAATTTTGTTGAACTAGTTCTAAAATAAATGACTTGTCACTTCTCAATTAATTAGATGCCATTTTGAGCGTTTCTCTTTTACCCTTAATAGCTTCCATTACAATTTCCTTGTCATTTCTAATTTCCTCTGATGCGTATGCAAGTAAACATGCATGGTTTTTAATTGCTATCATTGCCAACTGTCTGTCATTTCTTAATTCCTTTGATACATGTTTATAAACAATGTCAGCATGTCGGTTAATAGCTTCTGTTACAATTTCTCTGTCACCTCTTAGTTGTTTTGAGGCATATTCAAACATCCATCCACATTTCTTAACTAGTTCCATTACAAGTTCTCTATCATTTTTTATCTCAATAGATGCAAATTCAAAAGCACTCATGTTTTGTTTAATAGCTGCCAATACAATTTCTTTGTCTCTTAAATAATGACATACATGTTGAAGTGCAAGGCCATTTTGCTTAACAGCTTCCATTGCTATTTCTTTGTCATGTTTATTAATGTAATTATATTTTAGACTCTTTCCATTATTCTTAACGGCAAGAAGTACTATTTCTCTGTCATGTTGTAATTGTTTTGATGCATATTGAAGTGGCAAATCCATCAGTCTGGACTGCTTTCATAATAATTTCTCTATCACTTATCANATCATCAGGACAATATTTCAAAACATCAACATTATACTTAATAGCCTCTAAAACAAGTTCTCTGTCTCTTTTCAGT